TGAAAATGTGCGCCCCCGAGTTGGCCCCAGTTCTAACACGTCTTTTTCGGCTCTCTTATTCCTCAGGCGTAGTTCCGACGTCCTGGAAGACAGCTTTAGTCCACCCAATCCCTAAAAAAGGTGATCGATCTAACCCGTCTAACTACAGACCGATAGCCATAACTTCCCTCTTCTCGAAAATAATGGAGTCCATTATTAACTGCCAGCTCCTGCGTTACTTAGAGGATCATCAGCTGCTCAGTGACCAGCAATACGGTTTTCGTAAAGGTCGGTCTGCTGGTGATCTCCTTGTTTACCTAACGCATCGGTGGGCACAGGCGATCGAGTCTAAGGGGGAAGCGTTGGCAGTAAGTTTAGACGTGGCGAAGGCCTTCGATCGGGTTTGGCATAGAGCGCTTCTTTCGAAGCTTCCTTCCTACGGACTTCCCGAGAAATTATGCAAATGGGTCTCCTGCTTCCTTGCAGACAGAAGCATTAAAGTCGTCGTCGACGGTGAATGCTCTGACTTGATGTCTGTAAACGCAGGTGTCCCTCAAGGCTGCGTGCTATCGCCTACATTGTCATTGACATCCTCCATGTCAATGACATGCTGCAAATCAGCGGCATTCATTGTTATGCGGATGACAGCACAGGCGATGCCTACTACACCGGCCGCGCTAACATTTCTCGTCATACGAAGAAAACGTCATAGAGAGCCGAAACAGACTCGTGTCTGAAATCGAGACCTCTTTAGAGAGAATCTCTGATTGGGGTGGACTTAATTTGGTCCAGTTTAACCCCACTAAGACACAAGTCTGCGAGTTTACCGCTAAGAAACTGCCGTTGGTCGTCTCTCCTCAGTTTCAAAGCACCCCCCTAACTGCCTCAGCCGGTATTGGAATACTTGGTGTCAACATTTCGAGCGACGTCCAGTTTTGCGGTAATTAACCCTGTAATTAACTTAATATTAAATTAGACTATTAGAATGCATTTGCGTCAGCTTGGAGTTGTCATGCTCACTCAAAGGTCTCATTGGCGGTGGCGCGTGCAGTGGATCGCTCGATTTCCTACAATATGGTTGAGTTGGGCGGTGCTGGTGCACGTGTCATGTTCGTGAACGGGTGCCGTCAACTGGGACTGGTCAGCTCCAGACTATATTATTTATTGTCTTTAAGGTTATTTCCTTTTTCGATCACTTTGACTGGATTTTGTGTGTTACATAGTTCTCGCACAATCCAAACAGCAAAACTATGTAACTAGAGAATTGTATTGTGAACCTGATTGAAAAAGAGTAACCTATGGAGTTTCTTACTCGTTCTTCTCCATAGGAATCTGCACCTTGGAATGAGCAAATAGCTTCACTTTTAATTTTATTGTTGACGTTTAAAAGTGCCTTTCTGGTCTAATTGAAATAAATGATTTTGACTTTGATTTTGACTTTACCCTACTCTAATCTACTATACCTTACTCTACCTTACTCCACCCTACTCTATCCTACTCTACTTCCTTAAAAAAATTCTTACTTAAAAAAAACCGTTTAAACCGTCCCTTGAGTAACCAAAACTAAAATCAAAATAAGTCATACGTTCAGCCGTTCTCAAGTTTTAGTGAGACTAACGATAAGCAATTCATTTTCTATATATATAAGAAGATTGAAAGTTTACGATAAATTAGGTTTATTCCTAACGTGACCCTAAAACCCAACCCGGTTGCGGGTTATGTTAGGTGGGTCTTTGTCGGCGAGCCGCCGCCATGTATTATGCCCACGCGGCGCTCATATCTACCTACTGCTTAGGGATTTGTATTGACACATAAGTACCTACTTACTTTTATCCATCTTGGCGACAATCTAGTAGTATTTTGTTTGAACAAAAACTGCTCACAACACACGCGTATACACAGACGACAAAACAAAACGCCGAACGCCAAAACAATCCACGTGGCACGAATGTCAGTAAAATAATATTTTTGAACAAGTACTTACCATTGCATGCCTCAACTAGCGGGGGCGGCAGGGTTACAAAGAAAACCTCAATTTTATTATTTAAATATCTAAAAAAAATAATGATACCGCAATATTACGATACCAATATAAACCGGTACCGTTTTTTTAAGGTATCGAAATTTAAAGGTATGACGTCATACCGCTTACCGTTTTAACCAGTATTTTTTCGGTTATTCAGTCCCTGCTCGGGGTTAAACACTCTTGCTTCAATGCCTTTATGGTCAGTGCCTATAACAAGTATATATTAACAACGTGGGAGAGCCGTGCTTTGGTAAAAATCGACTCAACTAAAGTGAAGCCACGCCCTCGCAGAAAATCGGCGTCAAAAAACACTTGCATTGATTCACCGTATGAGTGAGACTACCGGAGGCCATCACCTGATGGAAAGTAGTCTTTGCCGTCCATTACTCATGGACCAACTACAGCGGAGTTAAAGTGCTTTACCGCCATTTTGGCGATTTGGGATTGAAGATAGAGGATTAGGCCTCCAGTAACTCTACTCACATGGTACAACGCAGGCATTGTCTTACACCGATTTGCTGTGAGGCCATGATATCATTCATTGGTGTTGAGAGCTTACTGAGAAAAAAAGAGAAGTATCACTTTCCACCATTTTAAATGTGCAAGGGCAATGAAAAATGTATCTATACTACAATTTATTTTAACACTGTAACAGCACTTCATGAACGTGTCGAAGCGAGGTCCGTGGGCCACTCGTATACTGGACGCGCACAACAGTGGGTACCCGCGGGGCGTGGACTCCGAGGTACTGCAGCGCCTGTGGCTGGCTGAACTAGGATACAGCTCCCAACAGTGGACAGCGGCCGTCATGCTCGAGACAAGTACGTAGCATGATATAAGAGAAGATATTTCTTTCTCACTGTAACAGTTTTAGATAATTTGGTGAACAAGTAGATGGATCACCTGATGGTAAGCAATCGGCACCGCGCTGACAGCGGACATACGCAACATCTGAGGATGTACAAGTTTGCATTACCGGCCTCTTAGGGATCAGGGATTTTGAGTTTGTTGTTGACTGAGGAAACTAATCGGTCCGTCGCCCGAATTTGACATTGCTTTTCATCGGACGAAGCGCCATCTGTTATGTTACACATTTGAACTTGAACTACCAACGTTTATTTTAGTTTAGTTTACGTTACTTTCCCTTTTATTGCTGTCAAATATTAAAATGGTAGTCTTGCTAACTAGTTAATCAGGTTTTGGTTTTCCTTAGGTAACCACCATTTGTTCAATGAACCAGAGATACAAGCGCGCTACCGGCAACTGGTGACACGGAGTAAGGTTGCACGCCAGGACCAGTCCATCAACTCAATCATTAAATACGAGTAAGTAATGTCATATTTACAACTTTGAAAAAAAAGTTTTTTCGATTTTGATTAGTAGGCACTGAATAGTCCAGTTCTATCTTCTGTGTACAACGACTTTACTATTGTTTATTGCGCAGCAAGTAAATTACTAATCCAACTAGTAAATCCATTGCAGATACTAAATATATTAACATAATTTATTTGTTGAATTTTAAAAAGCGTTGAATATCTTTTTTTCTTAGTGGCCCATCAAATACAAAAAAGAATAAAAAAAAAGAAATTACTATTTTAAGGTCTATAATTTTAATTTAATGTTTGTTTCAGATTATCGAGTGATGATGAATAATATCCGTGTAGACAGGGTACTTGAAAACTCAAATCTCTAGTCCAACAATTGCTAAGTTTTCCTGATTTTTGTGTGTTAATTCATTTTTAAATCTCAAACACTGAAACAGTAAAGTACAATATGTTTTACAGTTGGTAATTCTGTCATGCACTATAATAAAATAAAAAATACTAAATATTATGAAAAATTTTTTCTTTTGGTTTTGAAAATTATTACTTTGTCCAAAAGTGTGTACAAAAATAAATCTTCGTTGCCTCGTTCTCACTGTAGTTTAAAAACTACTGTACTGTTATTTATAGACTGGGCTTCTCATCCTTGTCTGAAAACTGCACTGCTGGTGTGGTGGGTGGGCAACGGACAACACTTTATGTGTTCCAGGTCTGGGTATCATATATATGTGAAATTGTAAAGCAAACGCACCCACAACTATGCAATTCATCCAATTTTAGTAGTAATTAGACATTAACCATACTCATTATTAAATCGTTAAGCTTCACGTTAATTTTAACATAAAAATCATCTAAAATGAAATGCGATTTGGTTGCCGTGATAAATCACTTAGATTATTACGTGAGTATTCGAACAATTAAAAAGTTAATAAATGTCAATTTGTCTGAAATTTTGGCTATGACAGCCATGACAGGAGTGTATTTTGACATCTGACAGACAATGGTCGAGAAAATGCATTCGAGAAAAAAATAGTGTAATAAATTATTTAATTAGCAAATTACTTATTTAACTTATAATACTATTAAGTTTAAAGTACACGTGTACGACTGCTAGTGGTGTTAATTGTTCGTTGTCTGTCATCACAAAACAATATTTGGTTTTACAAAAATATTTTTGCTTTAGGGACACGTAAGTCTTTTGGTCCGATGCGCTATATTAAATTGTGAAAATGACGCGTTTGGAACTGTATATTTTGTGTTTGTGTGTTGTGTTATCGGCTAGTGAATTGTTAGGACCTGAGGCGCGAAAAAAAAGTGAGAAAAATGATGAGGACGAGGAGGGCAGTGAGGGTTCCGATACAAAATACAATCCGGTCGACGCCGACTACTTCAAAGAGCTGAAGGATGCTATGAAGAAGGAGGAGATAGTGCTACAGGAGTATGCTGATGCTCTAAGAAATGCCAGAGATATTCCTAAAGATGAAGACCATAAAGGTTAGTTAGCAGTATGCAATAGCAAATTATGTCCCAGCTGAGTACATTGTTATATAGTGTATTCTCTTAGCTATAATATTACAAAATATACCTACTGATTAATGTTTAATTAAATATAGACAAGTGTGCCAGTGTGTAATTTATGATGAACTATTTCCATAATTAACTCGTTGAGTACCGTCATTATAGACACAATTAAAGAACAATAGGTTGCGGTCACCGGTGCCTGCTTGCTGTTTGACAGTTTAAACCAGAACCCACATATAGTTCTTATTACGACCAATCAGAATGAAATTGAAACTAATAGAATTCTTCTGAAGTTCATTAAAATCTTTAACAATAACAAACTTTATAATAATTTGACAAGAAGTTATTTTCTTTATACATATTAACTCATAAATCCCCAAGCGGTCACCAGTGACCGCTTTCCACTAATATTACATTACATTATAGACCTTATTTCTAATGTTTAGACAATACTTTTGTATGACCAAATTTAGGGGATGGATATCAACGGGTTAATATTTATTCTGATAAATATGTTCTGTTGTTGTTATAAATTTTGGAAAAAAATTATTACAGAGACTCATTTAGATCAAATGGAGTATACTCTGAAACTGTTGAAGAAGAGCCTTTTGAGGCACACAGAGTCTGCCTGGATACATGATCCAAAGTCTACGGAGAGTTTAGAAGGAGACATTGAGGTAATTATAACACACTCATTCAATATTCATAAAATAAAGCCAAGATTATTTTAAAGAGTATCCTCTTTAACTGTGTCTTATAATTTATCTTCATAAATTGATTTCATAATATGGCTTAATGATATCAGTCACTCTCCTATTCTTTACTTAATTACCATAACCAGTTTCATTTATCACTGATTTGACTTATACTCTTTAAAATATAAAACAAATCAAAGATATGAATTGAATAATTAATGTAGTAATATTGTGTGGATTTTGTGGAACATAAGTGGAAAATAAAGTTGGCTACCACTGTAGCCATTAATAATTAGGCAAATAGTAATTATTCACTAATAATTAGGGAAAAATATACTAGTTTTAGAATGACTTAAGTATTTGTTAGATATTGTTACTCTATTGACTTGGAATTATGACATGAGCCTGTGAGCAACCTAATTATTTTAAATCTAATTGCAACAGTAATTAGACATACCTTGTTTTTATTATTTTATTGTTATTGTATGTACAAAATTTAACCTAATATATTTGTATGTCTATCACGGCAAAACATAGTGGACTATCTTTATATGTAAGACCTTATTATGTAAACTACCTATATACCTATGTATGTTTAACAAATAAATTATTCTGATTCTGACCATGAACTTAACATTTGCAGCATCAGCTGAAGCTAAAACTTTATAGAGTTTATTTTGCATAATTTCTATGATAAATATGTTTATAGAAAACTTGACTAAGGGCCATTGATATAATCAGTTTTATTTAACACTTGAACTGCCAAGTTTAAAATTGGTGAAAGTCAAACCTTCACTAGCATCAGGCGCAGGTGACCGACATAGCATAAGTGTTACCCAAAAAGTTGTATTGTACTTCTTCTTCAGAAATTGGAGGACAATCCTCAAGACATTCTGGACACTCTGCCTCCATTGCCTGAAGAACCAGAACCTGAACTGTCACCGGAGTTAAAAGAAGGTAGGCCTCATCATTATTGTGTTTGAATATTTTTTATGACTATAATTTATAAAATGAGTGTGTGTGGGTCATCCTATTAATGTCATTGTGTTTGAGTGATTTATTGAACATTTACTTATCAATGACATTTTATCGCTTCAGGTAGTAATTATGTTATCTATGTATTGTAATACTTTTATCAAGAATCTAGGTTATTCGATTTGTTGGTGTGTGTTACCCACGCCCGATATTGTCGAAAATAGTCATCTGAATCTTATAGATAATTAGTTGTGCAGCTTCTGTAACTGTTGCGCACATTTTTAAATTTGTTGTGCTTATAGCTTTTTATTTATTTCACAAAAAAAAATCCTGCTGGGGTAATGTTACCCCAGCCAGACCCTTTTCTTTCTAATTAAATAATTATTAGCTATAAAATTAGTTGTCTAGATGAGGTAAATGTTGTGCTTTAATTTGTATTTGTTCTTTCATCGGTTGCGAAGTCATTCGAGATTTTCCTGGGGTAACGTTTTTGGTTTTGCTAGATCTTTGAAATGGTTAAGCGGATTATTATCATATTTTGTACATGTCTTCTTAGGAATTAGTTTAAATTTGTTTTGCAATAAAACAACCAAAATTATACATACCTTAAAGGTTGTTTCATTAAATAGAAAAACACTTCAATTGGTCCCAGCACTCTCAGTAAGAGCGTGTAATGTTCTGCGTTTTCGCTTTTTCGTAACCACCTAAACTTGTTCGAGTTACCACGGTCATTCACTTCATAATGACTTTAATCGTCTTATCTCATTAAACTACTACTAGACAACTAATTTTATAGCTAGTGATTATTTACATATTCCCATTAGAAAGACAAGGGTCTGGCTGGGGTAACGTTACCCCAGCAGGAAATGTTTTTGTGAAATAATTATCCCATCTGTCTCCCATGAGAATATGCAGAGACCATGAAACAGGAATTGCTATGACTCTTACATCCGTAGTTTTTATTTATTATAATTTAGTATATCTCTCCTTATTTATCCTACAAGCATGAATGAACATGGTAAATAATACTGAGATCTTTATTCTTAGCCAAAGAACTATATGATGCGGCGATGGTGAAACTAAACAGACGGTCGCCCGACCTTCGCGGAGCTATCCTCCAAGTGAAGCAGGCAGCTGACATGGGCTACATACCTGCTAAGATCAAGCTGGCCTGGTCCTACCTGTTCGGAGAAGGCGTAGAACTGGACTTGGAGAAGGCCAAGAAAATCTTCGAGGAGCTGGCTGTAGACGGAAACGCTGATGCTCATGCTGTAAGTTTGTGAAATTTTATAGAGTTATCACTATCGTAGTCAAGTCATCATCTTCATAATTATCGTCAGCCGAAAGGCATCCTCTGCTTAACAAATATCTCTATTTGAAGTAGGCAGGCATTTGCTACAACTCTCCAATATTGGAGGCTGTAATTAGGTGACTGAACAGCAAACTTCCCATTTAATCATACTTCAAACTATAACTAATCACTTCGGATAAGAAATGGACATAGTTTCTAAAACTGTTACCCTTTTTTACAGGGCATGGGCTTCCTATATGCGACCGGTATAGCAGTCCCGGTGTCTCAGGCCAAAGCGCTAGTACACTACATGATGGGAGCGCTCGGAGACAGTGACTTCGCGCAGATGGCGCTGGCGTACCGATACTGGAGCGGTAACACTGTGCCCAGCTCCTGTCCCAAGGCCATGGACTTGTATATGAAGGTGGCTTCTAAAGGTAGGAGCATGAAAGTCACCTAAAAGTTTTATGTTACTGAGTAACTGACTGAAGCCTATGTTTTATAAAGCTTTTGGCATGTAGGTTTCATAGGACATAGTGTTTATTTTGCGTATAAATTCTTATGAAGGCACAAAAATAGGTTTTTTTTGGGTGATTTAGTTCGGGGCACGGACTGGCCTTTGTTACTTGGGTCTTAACTAGCTAAAGGGTTTCAATGTGTTAATCCTCAAGGATTAAAATAGATTCTCGTTTGTTGGCAGTGGCAAGTCAAGTAACGTTCAGCGGAGGTCCTGCCATACAACGCACGCGACTGATCGACGAGGCGGAGGGCGGCGGCCCGGGGACCCTGGATACAGACCTCATTGAGTACTACCAACTCTTGGCTGAAAAGGGAGACGTGCAAGCACAGGTAGGATACGGTAGCATTTTGCAATGTAAACTGTTCGTACTTTTGGTCACATATTCATTTAGAGCGTTTCATTTTCGTTGGCTTTAGATCAGGACTTTGCAAGCTAAATTCTTCAATATTTTTTTTATCATTGTGTCGCCTAAACTATGCATGTCACACGATTTTGTTTTTAATATACAGTGGTTACTGATTAATATCTTTTTTCAGGTCGGTTTGGGCCAGTTGCACTTCCAAGGCGGACGCGGCGTGACTCTAGACATCAACAAGGCGCTCCACTATTTCCAACAAGCTGCCAAAACTGGGAACGCTGTCGCTAATGCATTCTTAGGCAAAGTGAGTTACAATGTTACATAATTTTTGTAGTTGCGCAAAATTCTTGGCAATGCGGAAAGTCCTTAATCAAATGATTAAGGACTTTCCGCATTGCCAAGAATTTATTTGCCAAGAAATAGGAAATCCTAATGAACTAAACCATTTCATAAGATATTTTGAACGATGCGCAAACTTTTTAACCGTTGCGCTAAATACGTAATTACCTATTGGTCTAATTTCACAATTTATTTCAGATATACTTGGAAGGTGGTGACGGCATCAAGGCAGATAATGATACTGCACTGCGGTACTTCAGGAAAGCCGCTGAACTTAATAACCCAGTTGGACAGAGTGGATTAGGTATCATGTATCTACAGGTAATGTCTTTACATAACACAGATTTCTTCCTTCCCTGAATAATATGTGTTTAGCACATTACCTATGTCTTCTTTCATTTTGTTTTGTCCCATATCTGACTTCATCTTATCATAAACTCATGTTTCTTTCATATCATAGGCCGCATCTTCGTTAACCTACTCATCTGTTCTTAGTCCTTTTAATTTAAAATTAAGTACCTTTCTATATCATGAATCACATCTAAAATTCAATATACAACGACAATAAAATTTGCAGGGTCGTGGTGTCCCTAAAGACACGAATGCAGCGTTTAAGTACTTTACGATGGCCGCCAACCAGGGCTGGGTTGAGGGACAACTTCATCTTGGATTCATGTACTTCGGTGAGTAATCATCATTAGCATATCAATAGGGTAGATGTCTAATTTTTATTTTAATGTCCGTCTGGTAGATTATTTTTATATCATTAGACACGTATTTTTTATTTTCTTACAGAAACAAAAGCTTTCGTCATTGTATTAAAAAGATACGTGTCTAATATTTTTCCATTACCTAACTTGCGGGCTAATTAGACTTAATTTTCATACCCTGTCATCATCCCAAATCAGTATCCTTTATTTTTAATTATTTTGTAGGATTTATTCATGTCACTGTTTGACAAGGTAACTCGATTGTGTTTAAGTCACGCTAGTGCCTCATATTTATACGATCTCTGGCAAGCGCGGACCTGCGGACGGCGAGCACGGGTCCAACCAGAACCAGACCCCCAGTGTACGGCGCCGAGAGTTCCGCGCGTTCTGCCAACTAAAACAGGCGTCAGTTGGCATCAAATAACACCATATTATTATATTGTTTTTAGGTGGTATCGGTGTCCGTCGTGACTTCAAGCAGGCCAACAAATACTTCTCCCTGGCGTCGCAGACAGGTCACGTACTGGCGCTATACCACCTCGGACAGATGCATGCGCAGGGACTCGGGGTCATGCGCTCTTGTACTACTGCTGTAGAGGTAAGAAAACAGCTATTTACAACTTTGAATCGAGTTTTAGGTCTACTATAGAAGATTTCTTGTGTGATATGTACGGTATTCAACTTTCAACTTCTACTGGATCAGAATTCTACTGTCTGACTTTTATACTGCGTCTGTATTCTACTGAATCTAAATTCTTTTATAACGACGTCGACTAAATTCAAGTTCTATTAAATTTAATTTTTCTAAGCTGTATTGGATACAACTTTTAGCAGTCGCCGTATAATGATCTCTTAAAGCCAGTGTGGTTCTGCTGGGGGAACGAAATCTCGCTAGACTATTTATATAGCTCTGTTTTTTACCTAAATGGAACCATTCTGACTTTAGGACGTCATAATAACCCCACTGATCGGACGTCCACTGACCCTTTTATCTTTAAGATTTAACTATTCTGATTGATGAATCTCACTTTTATGACGTCTACCGGAATTCCTAAGAAGCCGTGTAGAAAATATGATAAGAATCCGCTTAACTATTTCAAAGATCTCGCAAAACCAAAAACGTTACCCCAGCAAAATTTCGAATAACTTCGCAACTAATGAAAGAACAAATACAAAATAAGGCACAACGTTTACTTCATCTAGACAACTAATTTTATAGCGAGTAATTATTTAAAGATTCCCATTAGAAAGAAAAAGTTCTGGCTGGGGTAACGTTACCCCAGCAGGAAACGTTTTTGTGAAATAATTAAAAAAAATGAAAGCGTAACAAATTTAAAAATGTGCGCAACAATTACAGAAGCCGCACAACTAATTATCTATAAGATTCAAATGACCCATTTTCGACAACATCTGGCCTGGGTAACGCACACGGCTTCACCCAGTTGTACAGTGTCTTTTTGAGTCCTTTAGGCTTAATTCATTCTGTCTCCTGCAGTAATTCACCGAAGGAAGTGGAAACAATCGTTTTTTTTTCTTCTTCTTTTATAATGTATTCTGATTCACTTCGTCGCGGGAACCAAGACAGTTATTCATGTACCTGTGACGCGCCGGACTTCAGTGTTGCGATATTTTAATGGTTGTTTCTACTGTAGATTCTGGCTTTCAGGAGTTGCAGCGGTTTTGGGAGATAGTGGCGTGCTTGTTCCAAAAAAAAAAAACACAAATATAAAAATAGAATTGGTTTTTTTATAGGATAAGTCGGATCACCTGATGGTAAGCAATTAATGTTGCCCATGAATACTCAGAATACCAGAGGCGTTACAAGTGCGTTACCGGCTTTTTGAGGAGTAGGTCTTTGAAGATTGTTGGGGATTCAGGGATTGGGGAAGGCGGTAATTGATTATACAGAGACTAATAAGTTCGGTAAATAACAAGACATTGTAAACTGTACCGAGTGCGGCCCGCAGCTATTCAAGAACGTGTGCGAGCGCGGCGGGTGGGGCGCGCGCCTGATGCTGGCGCACGCGGCCTGGCGCGCGCGGGACTCCGACTCCGCGCTGCTGCAGTACCTCGCGCTCGCCGAGCGCGGGCTCGAGATCGCACAGACCAACGCTGCCTTCTTGCTGGACAATGGTAGGTGGTTCTACTTGTTGGAATCTAAGTTAATCTTATGCCCAAATACTGAAACGCTACTCAATTCTAAGTTGCGCTTACGTATAGTTCTGTCACTACAAATTCTTTGTAAAATGACAGAGATGGCACGATATTGAAGTACAATTTAAAATTGAGTAACCTTTCAGTATTCGGACGACAGAGAAGTTGATTAGTTTTCTTTTAAAAAAAATATGTGCTGTTGTTGTATTATCAAAAGAAACCATAATGGAGTTTGTTCTTCTCTTTATTCAGAATTATAATGCTTTACTTTTAAACTTTAGAGATTAGAATGAACAAGTAGCATTTCTAACGAATAATTCAAGTCATATTTAGAGATGGATTACAAATGGAAATTAAAAGAAAATAGTTGTTCAGAAAGCAACATTTTAATGACATAGGTTTGTTTATAATATAAACATAGGATATAAAAAATCAACTTAAATCTTTAGTTTTTGGTAATAGCAATCCTGGTCTACTGGAATGTAAATCAAATAATCAATACAAAACAATAATTAATATACCATTAATCAGCCACTTTGATAAGTGGTATATTAATTTTATTTCATCTCCACACTACTTGCCCTCCAGGCGAGGTCCGACTGTTCAGTGAGTCGGAGCGCTGGGCGCGCGCGCTGCAGCTGTGGGCGCGCGCGGCGGCGCAGGGCTCCGGCGCCGCGCGCGTCAAGCTCGGCGACTACCACTACTACGGACTCGGGACGCCACACGATCTGGAGGCGGCGGCCTACCACTACAGGTAGGTTTTGTCAAATTTTTGGGAAATGTTTTTACGTTGTTTTTGCCTTTGGAAACATTATATGGTGTATTTTACTTTATATTCTAAAATTCACATCTTTTGGACTGACAAAAATAACCATGATACACCGCAGCTTTAACTGGAGTAGTATATACGTGTTCTACCGCTTGTATAATGGGTTGGGTTCCGCGGAATTGTTTAATATGATGCCCACGGCCACTTTCTATCATCGCACCGCTCGCCATCGACAGGGAGTTCACGCTCACACATTAGAGCCCAAATGGTTTCGTAAAGTTCGGTTTCAGAGGAATTTCCTCCCACGGACCCTCCGATTGTAGAATGAACTCCCTGCCGTGGTTTTCCCAGTGGACTACAACATGGGGTTCTGAAAGAGGGGAGTGAATAGGTTTCTTAAGGGTCGGCAAGGCGCTTGTAATGCCCCAAGTGTTGCAAGCGTTCATAGGCCACGGTAACCACTAACCATGAGGTAGGCTGTGTGCTTTTTTCCATCGTCGTGATATAAAACAAAAGTATACCTATGTGCGTTTATAATAACTTCAATCAACAACGGATCGCTAGTTTTATTTCTTAACAGAGACGTTAATTTTGCACCAGGTTTAAGTATCATATACCTACAGATAATTACTAGTTCAGATTCGACACTGTAAATTACGTATGTCGTCCAATATTACCAACTAATAATCCATAACGCTCCACCCACAGGATAGCATCAGAGCAGCTGCACAACGCGCAGGCGACGTTCAACCTCGGCTACATGCACGAGCGCGGGCTGGGGCTGGCGCAGGACGCGCACCTGGCCAAGCGCTGCTACGACCTCGCGGCCGAGTCCTCGCCCGACGCCAGGCTGCCCGCCGCGCTCGCGCTCGCCCGCCTCAACGCTGCTACTGCACTCTCGCAGATACTTGATGTGAGTGTTGTAGGCTTTTAAATTTTAGAGAGTAGAATCTAATGTGCCCTACGTTAGGAAAAAGGGAGGATTCTCCGATCAGACAAGGTGATCATGCCAGGGGATACTGCCCAGCAGTTGTATGTTAGGATTTTCTGGATCTTTAACTGTCGTTTTATTAGGTCGATAAGAGTTTTCGACCTTTTGTTGAGTTAAAAACTATGTACTTTAGAATAGTCACTCAAGAACTTATTGCATATAATAAAAATACAAGTTTTTATCGACTTATCGTTTTCATATCGATAAACATTAGTAACGAACGTGTTGTAACTTTAATGTATTAAAAAAATCAAATCACGTATTCACTCATTTTATTTCGATCCAACACACCTCACTAAAGTCGATAATCATCAGTCATTCTTTCAGAGTCCGTTGGCAGTCATATTCCTGACGGATTCGGCGCTACTGTCCAACTGGGACCTGTACCTCATCACGGCACTCCTCGGGGCTCTGGGCGTAGTGGTATACCTACGAAGACCTACCCAGCAACCTGCCAACTAGTCCAGGATATAGAGGAACAAGACTCCTGTATAAATGAATTTTAAAAAATTACACGGATCAATTTAATTGTAGGCCTTTCCTAACAATATCCGATGAAAATTAATCTTGTATTATTACCTAATCCTCGGTGATTGTGAGGTCTGGCCTAGTAAATGCAATAATTCCGTGCAATTCATTTTGAAAAGTAATATTCAAATGTATCTAATATAGTCCATTGGATTTTGTATTGTTTACTATGTAAGAGTTTGTTCTGTTTATTGCAATAAAGCTGTAAGAGCCAAAGAAACATTTTATACAGCTTTCTGGTGTAAGATCTCTCAGATTATAGCTTAAACCAATCCAATATTCTATTTTTATCACAACTTCGTAACCTTAAAAACATCACCAGCGCCACCTATGAAGCGCAAAAATGCACACAAGATTTCAGCTTTTCTAGTATTACTAAGTATTTTTTCTATATGAATGTGTACGAAAAATAGTGCGTCCATAATTATTGTTTTGATAGACAATTAAATTGTTTCGTGTAAATCGAATGGTGACAGATAATGTGAAGTGCAGTGATGACATGTGATGACAAAGAAAGGTGTACATAGTGAATTTGTATTATGTAAATAAAATGTGAAAATGATTTAATTATTATTATACCGTTGTTTTATTTTTTGCTAAGGTATCCCTAATTCCCTATGCCCTATACCATCGAAGCTTTTCAATGAATCTAAAATAAATAAATTAAACGATATGCAATTAGATTAAAATGGCAAACAATAAAAATAACCTAAAGCAGAAATGCTCAAAGGCCTAACTCGGTCGTATATCATCTTATGCATGGGCGCGTACATACATACGTAAATATAAATATCTTGTATCTACCGTAGAAAAGGACAAAAAAGTAGGTCGTTTTACTAGCACACCTTTGACTCTGTTATATACATTTTATATCCTTGTCCAAACAGCAGAGCCGTACCATCCCTAAGACAAACTTGGCAATTGTCTAGGACGCTAGGTTAGTAAAGCGGCGCCGCGAGACGTGCATGCCCAACTACCCAGAGTGTCGGCGGCGCCAAAACAATATAGAGGCGTGCGACGAGATGCTTGCCTATGCCTTTAACCCCTGGAAAGCCGGAACGTAGCTATACGCAAGACACGTCGCGGAGAACCTAACGGGTAACCGGAGCTCCGATTCGACGTGCAGGAGAAGGAAAGGGGTGGTTTTTAGTCAGAAAGAGTCTGACACTCCCTCCCGCCTCACCCAGGCGAAAGCAGTCATTCGATGATTATCCCCCCTTAAAAAAAATACGCAAGACACAATGTGTTTTAGTGTTTCACATCCCAACAGATAAGAGGTTAAACCGGCTGTGCCATAGAGTATATTTTTAGGACCATGAGGGTAGGAGACAATGGTATTGTCTTACCAAACGTATGAGACGATAATATGATAATTTGAAAGTAGTCTAGCATAGGTCTCAAAGTATAGGAAGTTGAGTCTCCATTTAAACAACAAGTTTTGTGTTAGCCTAATATCTGAATTCTTTGTGTTTAACCTCAACGCACCGATAAAAGCATTTATACCTAGCCTCGACCGTGTGCGTTACCCAGGCCAGATGTTGCCGAAAATTGTCATTTGAATGTTTTGCGGCTACTGTAATTATTGCGCACATTATTAAATTTGTTGCGCAAATAGTTTTTTAATTATTTCACTAAAACATTTCCTGCTGGGGTAACATTACCCCAGCCAGACCTTTTTCTTTCTAATGGGAATATTTAAATAATTACTAGCTATAAAATTAGTTGTCTAGATGAAGTAAATGTTGTGCCTTATTTTGTATTTGTTCTTTCATCGGTTGCGAAGTTATTCGAGATTTTGTTGGGGTAACGTTTTTTGTTTTGCTAGATCTTTGAAATGGTTAAGCGGATTCTTATCATATTTTGTAAAAGGCTTCTTAGGAATAAGTTCAAATTTGTTCTGCAATGAACAAACCAATAAATACATAACTTAAAGGTTATTTCATTAAATAGAAAAACACTTCAATTGGTCCCAGCACTCTCAATAAGTGCTCTAAAGACTTACTTTATTATTTACTTCATCTAGACAACTAATTTTATAGCTAGTAATTATTTATTCTCATTAGAAAGAAAAAAGTCTGGCTGGGGTAACGTTACCCCAGCAAGAAATATTTTAGTAAAAGAATTAAAAGACTATAAGCGAAACAATTACAGAAGCCGCACAACTAATTTTCTATAAGATTCAATTGACCATTTTCAACATGTGGCCTGGGCACGCCTCGACCATTGAAATTTTTGGAAGTGTTTCTCAAAATCAACCCAAGGCCATTCTCACCCCACCCATTAATCAGAAAATATATCATCACGGGATTGTGGCCTGTGTGTTCTAAAATAACAAGGCTTTTGTAAAAAAAAAACAAGGAATATTTTAGTTTAAACTTGAAAAATAATGGTGTTCTAGTTTTCTGGCAGAAGGCTAATTGTGCATTCTTTGATATTGGCTCCATGCTCAGGATCTCATGTAGTAAAAAAACAACTTTTAGTAATATATTTTTTATTTCTTAATTTCTAAAATCATATAAACGTGGTTTTTTTTTCTTAAAATTACATTTCTTATAAATACAAAATTGGGTTGCTAGTATACTATAGTTAAGGACTTACACAAGGACAGGGGATCGGATTAAGATAAATACATTTACATACTGTTACACAGGTTCTTCTAGCACGGGGGTATTATTTTTACAGCTTGATAATATTGTCCATCGCTAACTAAGACCTCAAACGATTATTTTTACAAATTCAATAGAGGAAAAGGTTTTTGATAAGATATCGTTTAACAGGGGAGAATCTCAGAAGACATTATTGTGCTAACTCAACATAAAAGTAATTGGGATAAAAAGAGGACATGATAATGGCTTCAAAATAAATTAACTGTGTTTTTATAATAACTATCGTGAGACATACTGAATTAACTAAAATCGCGGATTACTCACGTGAATATACTGAGAAAAGCTCTACTAGTTCAGTGAGCTGCGCGACGTCGCTGCGACCGCACACGCTGCTCATGAGGAAGAAGTCCTCTGTGGTTCGAAACTAGCAGAGCTTTTCTCAGTATATTCACGTGAGTAACCCGCGATGTTTAGTTAATTTAAATTAACTGTGTTTAGAGAGGTTTACATCATGCCTTTCTCGAGTTGTTCAATCTTCCTGGCGATGTCGTCAGCAGAGAATGCGTAGTCCATCGCGCCTTCCTGTTTCACGTCTCTGTCTCTTGCAGCCTTCTGTAAGATAGAAATAAAATACAAGTTATATTGGAAGACTAGGTAGGTATGTAGTGTTATTGTAATAGAACTGACATTGTTGTCAAATAATATTTCCGAAAAACATCCATTAATGCATGTTCGGCCTTGGGATTGAATCCATGACTTAAAGGTCTCGAAGTCTTTTGCAAATATGTATCTATTTTACTCGTTATATTTTGAAGCGTGTCCAAACTGACAACATGGCTACATGCAGCAACAAGAACGCCAAGGTATCAGTTGATTGATTGGTAAAAAAGGTTTTTACTATTAAAGTCGACTTTCGACTATTAATTAATTACTGCATTTAATAGGATAGGACTTCACGAATACGATTTAAGTAAAACTTACCCAAAACTGAGCGTACTCCGGCGACACAGATTGTAAATAAGCGATCTTGTCCTCCATGTCCTTCAATCGCCTGTAGATATCTTTGGAGACTGGTCCTATGTTCAGGTAGTTCTCAATGGACACCACACGCTCAGCAATGGATGACGGCAGGCCAGTCCGGTTGTGCTGTTCAGGGTAGAAGTCTGCAGGAGCCACGGTTTGAGGACCCCATTCGTTGTGGACTTTGTGTACTGGAGATTGAAAAATAAGTTAGAATGATAAACTTTGCTGTGATTATAATTTTTGTATTTTATGATGAAGTAATTTTGTGTGCTTCTTGTTACCAAAATTTGCGATAAAAACGTTTTTAAAAACCAAGAATTAAACTTATAACATTATGCTCTACTCTCCACTGATTACTGTTAACGAACAATTAATGTTTCACTTCAATTAGAAGTTTTAAATCGGCAACCCTCTTCGAGCAACCGTAGTGATCAATGCTCATTACTTCTCTTGTCATTTACCCAGCGGTAAGACGTAGAAGATGAAGCATACTGACAGCTTCTTAACTAAATTCAAAGCGCTAACCTTTCAAATGCCCCTTAGAATCTCCTCTCCTGACAAACTGCGTCCGCACTCTAGCGCAGGTCTCGGTTTCTTCATTATCAGCTTCATTGTTTGGTACAAAATCATGAATATTACTAATATTCACTTGTTCTCTCTTTCTTTCTATGAAATTCTGTATACGTTGCTGTAACTCTTCGCAGGACACGTTGATTTGGACTAAACTTTTGTCCACCGGCGGGGCTGGGTCTGGCGCTGGCGTAGGGATCGGCGTTGAATCTATCGTGCCTGTTAAAATAGATAATTATTAATTATTTTAGTATATACGCTAAAGAATAGGAGATTTACACATATATCGCATTTCCCTAAGTAAAGTACTCAGATTCTTTTGGTAATTGTAATGCTATAACTAATAACTAAGAAAATTGTCTTTATATATTAAATGAATCCCATTTTCCCTGGGTCACGGCATCACGCGTGAATGGCTGGACCGATTTAACTAATTATTTTTTTGTTACGTGTGGATTGCGCGTACGAAGGGGATTGCTCGTACGAAGGGGATTGCTCGTACGAAGGGGATTGCTCGTACGAAGGGGATTGCTCGTACGAAGGGGATTGCTCGTACGAAGGGGATTGCTCGTACGAAGGGGATTGCTCGTACGAAGGGGATTGCTCGTACGAAGGGGATTGCTCGTACGAAGGGGATTGCTCGTACGAAGGGGATTGCTCGTACGAAGGGGATTGCTCGTACGAAGGGGATTGCTCGTACGAAGGGGATTGCTCGTACGAAGGGGATTGCTCGTACGAAGGGGATTGCTCGTACGAAGGGGATTGCTCGTACGAAGGGGATTGAGGGGATTGCGCGTACGAAGGGGATTGCGCGTACGAAGGGGATTGCGCGTACGAAGGGGATTGCGCGTACGAAGGGGATTGCGCGTACGAAGGGGATTGCGCGTACGAAGGGGATTGCGCGTACGAAGGGGATTGCGCGTACGAAGGGGATTGCGCGTACGAAGGGGATTGCGCGTACGAAGGGGATTGCGCGTACGAAGGGGATTGCGCGTACAAAGGGAATTGCGCGAGCAGAAGCTAGTAGGTTATAAAAACAAGAGTGATATCGTTAATTCACATTCCTCATTCATTGTTTACTTACAGCTAAATTGTATCGTGAACTACTTTCTTTTTCTATTCCATTAAATAGTGTAGTAAAGATAAGGCTAAATGTAAATGCTAATTGTGAATATTTATTAGGTCGGTGCTATTGTCTAGTAAAAGTATTGTAAAATAGACCTTATTTATATCACCTTAATTTACTGTATCTGATGCTGACCGTTATTTTATGTATAAGTAACACTGCCATGTTAAAAAAATATTATAGCACTTGTCCTATTTCCTGTACTTAGCGTTATGTCATTACTTTCCTGTCGTACTGTCGTACTTTCCTGG